CACCTTGAAGAAGCCTTTGCAGCCCTCGCAGGTTCGCACTCCGTAGTGCTGACACGACGCGTTGTCCCCACAGACGGCGCAGCGCCCCTCAGCCGCTCCGGGGCCGCGGGTTTTGGGGGCGGGGGGCAGCGGGGGTCCCTCCAGCAACGGCGACGTTGGGGTGAGGGGTAACCCAGGGAAAGCCCCAGCCGCTCCGTGGGGCAGAGCGAAGGGATCCGCGTCCATCAGGCGGGGGTCCTTCGGGGAGCCGACGGGGTTGGGGGGCGCGAAGAAGAATTGGGGCTGAGCACCGCCGCCCTTCACCGCCTCGCCCCACTGCCGCCCCCCGTCGTAACCGGGAGAATAGGGCCCGAAGGAGCCGTCCCAGCCCGGAGCCTGGGGAGCGGGGAAGTTCGGAGACGGGACGGAGCAGGGGCTGCCGTAACAGTCCGACCCGCTGGAGGAGGACGAGGAGGACGAGGAGGAGGACGAGAGGGTCTCCTCGTGCTGCCCGAAGGCCGCGGGGTAGCAGCCGTACACCTGCAGCTCCTCCAGCCTGAAGTGCTGCCCGCCGGCCGGCAGCTGGCACAGAAAGGCGTCCAACTCCCCGGCGTAGCTCTCCATAAAGGTGCTGAAGCTGGGCAGAGCCGGAGCGGCGGTGGGGTCGGCGCCGGGCACTTCCATGGGGTAGCGGCCGCCCTCCGGACTCAGCAGTTCGGACGGGCAGCGATCGCAGGGGCCGGTGGTGGCTGCGCCATATTGCGCCTGGATGCAGGGCATGGCTGCGGGGAGAGCCGGGCGTCAGCGGGGAACGGGGCTGGGGGGACCGACCACCCCGGGGGGGACCGACAAACAGCGCCGGGGGGGACCCGTGTGCCCAGCGATGGAGAGGGGACGCTGGGCAGTGGGGGACCCCATTTGTGCGCCCACCCCTGTGCCACCCCAAGGGCCACCATCCAGGGATGGAGAGGGGACGCTGGACACCCGCAGAGCCCGGTGCTGCACCCATCGCGGTGCCATCCCAAGGACCAGGGATGGAGAGGGGACGTCGGGCACTTGGGATCCCTTTGGTGCGCCCGTCCCGGTGCCACCCACAGGACGGAGCAGCCGAGGGATGGGTTGGGGTGGATCGAGAGCCACTCCGGGCACACGGTGGCCCCCTGGCAAGTGGCCGGAGGCGCGGAGCCACTCGGTGCCACCTCTGTCCCCACAAAAGGTCACCGTGCAGCCAATAGGCGCAAAGGACATTCCCCAAAACGCTGGGTTAGCAAAGCGGCCGAAAGGGAAGGAGGGAGGAATGCGGGAGGGCGGATTCCCGAACCCCGACGTGACCGAGAGAAGGCAGAGAACCGAACCAGGAATGGGAGCCGGGACGGGGATGCAGCACCGACCCGTTTCCCGCATGGAGCCGAGCGGGGATCCGGAACGGGGCGGGTTGGGGG